CTGTATGTTTCTTGAATGCCTCTATGATTTTTTTCTTTGTGGTATTTATCAATAATATCGTATAAAATATCTTTTTCAAATATATCTTCCAGAAATTTAGAACATTTTAAAACTGTCATATTCTTTATGTTAGAAAAATAGTTTACTATAATATTTTGTAATTGTTTAAATATTTCAAAATCTTCACAAAACAGTCCGAGTTTACCCTTGATTGGCAGTATGTCGCGTAACATCAGTAGTACAGTTTTTTCATTAAATTCTTTTATAGTTATAGTAAATCTAATCTTATTATCAAAAATTCTATTATTTGTATATTTATTTTTACAACCTAGTTCAACAACAATTTGATTTCTAAAAATATTTAACGGTAATTCACTAAAATGTATATGATCATTTAGGTCTTCAATACCACTATGTATGGTGGCTAAATCCGATTTTATATCATCATTTTCATCTGCATTTTCAAATTTATTTACTTCTAAACGACTGAGAAAGTCAGCAACGTGATTCGTTTTACCCTTAATATACTCTATGTCAAAATCGAACTCATTTAATTTTATTTTCCATCTCTGCAATTTCATATTAGGTTCTTTGAGTGAGTTAAGCCAAATAAGAGGTCTGTGATCAGTCTGAATTTTAAATTTTCTTCCGAACAAATAGGGTCTAAAATATGTTGTTGCCCATATTATAGCTAACAATTCCTTTTCAATCGTGCTATAATTGCATTCATGTTTATTCAAAGTTCGAGAACTATATGCAATGGGGTGACCATTTTGGGACAAAACTGCTCCCAATGCAGCATTACTTGCGTCTGTTGTCAATACGAACGTTTTATCCCAATCTGGATACGCTAAAACTGGACTTTGGGAAACAAGTGTCTTCAGTTTATTGAATGAATCTATATAGTATGGGTTGTGTACATCAATTTTAGCGCCTTTCTTCAAACATTTTATCATAGGTAATGCAATTTTTCCATAATCTTTTATAAATTTTCTGTAAAAACCTGTTAACCCTAGAAAAGAACGTACATTTTTTATATTTTTGGGAATGGGTACTTTTTGTATAGCTTCTATTTTTGCTGGGTTGGGTTTTATTCCGTCTGGGGTAATAATATGGCCTAAATACTCGGATTCCCTCTTGAAAAAATTGCATTTATCAATTTGTACCTTCAGATTATATTCTGATAATCGTTTAAAAATATTTCTTAGGGAGTCAATATGCTCTTGCAATGATGTAGAAAACACAAGGATGTCGTCAAGGTATACTACACAAATATTATTAATATAGTCGTGTAAAACCTCATTCATCATTCTTTGAAAGGATGCTGGTGCATTTTTCAAGCCAAATGGCATACGGGTAAATTCATAATGACCAGTATGAGTGGAGAATGCTGTTTTATGCACATCATCAGGGTGAATGGGTATTTGGTGAAAGCCTTTAGCTAAATCTAATGTAGAAAAATATAAACATTTTCCTAATTTTGAAAACAAATCGTCCATATTTGGCATAGGAAATTTGTCACTTACAGTAACTTCATTAATTTTTCTATAATCAACTACGACTCTCCATTTCTGTTCTCCTGAATTATCCATTTTTTTGGGAACTACCCATATAGGAGCATTGTAGGGACTCGTTGATTTTTTAATAATGCCAGAATTTAGCATCTCTTTAACTTGCTTCTCAACTTCAGTTTTATGGATTTCTGGGAAACGATATGTTCTTGAATATACAGGTATATCATTTGTAGTGTTTATTCTATGTTTATATTTACATACAGCTGTTAAATTGTCTCCTTCAATGTAAAATGTTTTATTAAATTCTTTAATAATTTTCAATAATTTAGATATTTCTTCTTCATTTAAATGGTCAATTTGTAATCTATCTATTAAATTGCCTATGTCCGGTTTATGAAAATTAATATCTATTACATCAAAATATATATCATTTATATCTAATTGTTTATTATTTCCTATGTCGAATAACAATGGCAATTCAGTATGATGTGTTGTTAACTTATTTTCTTCCAAGTCAATCTTAATTTGTAATGGCCTTAATACATTACAACCTAATATACCATCATAGTCGCCACTTATGTCACATTCTAACAACTCTATCGTTGCTTCTGGTATATTAAATTCTTTAAAAAATGGTATTCTGATTTTAGTTGTAGATATTGATTTTGAGTTAATAGTCTTTAGTATTATAGGTTTTTCTAATTCTGTGCGAAATGATTGATGATACAATCCTTTCTTTATTAGTGACGTCGCTGCGCCTGTATCTACTAAAAGTTTTATTGGGATCGAACTAGTCCTTATAATTAAATAGGGTAGCGATCGTTGGCTGGTGATTGAAAATTTGAATGTCCAACAACTCCTACTTCCATAGGAATCGGACTATCATTATTAGCATTATTATTGTTTCTATATATTTGATTTGAATGTTGTTGTGGGGGGTAGTTTATATTTTGATTATGGTAGGGTTGAAATTGTTTATTGCCGTTGTGAAAATTATTAGAAACATTACTTTGATTGTTAAAATTTCGAATTTGATTTGAATACTGTTGTGGGGGGTAGTTTATATTTTGATTATGGTATGGTTGAACTTGTTTATTGCCGTTATGAAAATTATTGGAAATATTACTTTGATTGTTAAAATTTCGAATTTGATGATTTATATATTGACCAGAATTATCGTGTTTTTGTACTGCAGTATTTTGTGATGAAGAATTATTGTTGTTATAATATCTATTGTGATTACTATTTTGTTGATAATTTAAATTATTGTTATATTTATAATTATTGTTTTGTCTATTATTATTAGAATAATTTTGGTCATATTTATATGAAAAAGGTTGCATATGAGAATTGTATTTTGTACTATTGTTTACCTTTTTATAAAAATATTCAGTTTCGATTAATATTTCTTTCGCTTTTAAAAGACTATCTGGATTCCTAGCATTTAATATTAGTTTTGCCTCAGCAGGTAGTTTATTAATAAAAATTCTTAAAACCATCTTTTCGTTATTGGTGCATGTGTACCATTGATCACTGCTATCTGATGCAGCTCTTAAATTTAATCTGGTTAACAATGTTATTAATTGCTCATATAAATTATTAATACTCTCTCCCATCTCCAACATTTTAATTTTGTTAATAATGCTCTCAATACTCTCATTGATACAAAAATTAGCTTTTAAAACTCTCTTAATTTCGTCCCAAGTTGTTGGACTACTATTATTTATAAGAGCAATATTAGCACTATTAACAATCTTATGTCTAATTTTTAAATCGAACAATGCTATATGTGTACCTTCGACGTATTGCCTTATCTCTTCAATGGATCTTATAAAGAGTGGAAGTTCTTCAGCTTTGCCATCGAAATCAGGAACGCTCTTAAGAAATTCAAAAACATTGTACGCTGCCATGATGAATGTTGTGATCTTCCTTTAATTTATTTTCTTTCTATTTTCTTCAAATTGGGGAGGGGGAATGGCGGTTTGGTTTAATATTCTGGTTGTTGATTATTTTTGTATTGTTGTTGGCTAATTGTTGTTGTTGTTATGATTGCAATTTTTGTGATTCTGCATTGATGTTTAAATTCGTGGGGTGGGTAAACTTTTTTGGTGTGATGATGGGGGGTCTTTGGTCACGTACGCATGAAATTTTGCAACGTCTAATTTTTAAGTTTTGTTATGTCTTCAAAATTGTTGGTGTTTTTTTTGTTTTGTTAATTCGTTGATGATGTGGTGTTATTTGTTGTAACCAAAGTGTATCAAAACTGGAGTTCATAGAAGGTACAGTTTCGTATGAAATTTTTAGTTGTAATTTGTTCATGAATATTTTGATATTTCGATTTAGTCTTTTCACAAATATGTTAATATCTAAAATAATAGCTTTTCGCATACATTACGATTTTATGTAACATAAAATTTGATTTGATTTTTTTTTTATTTCAAATGGAATATTGTTCACAATGTTTACTTTATCAAAATTATTTTTATACGATTTTCACTGTTTTTATGTTGATGGAAAAGATTTTATATTTTCACATTTATTTGGTTCGTAAACCGACTGCGCCAGTTATGTTTTAGATTTTTTGTAAAACATTTAATTATTTATTATTAAATAAAACACTTTTTTAAAAGATAATTTTTAATTCAATTTTTTTATTTTTTTTAAATTACACACAATTTTCAAGGTTACGGATGAATGTAAATGATACTAACTCAACTAATCTTGATTGATGATTGAAACTCTTAAAACAAAATACATCTCATTATATTAAAATTAAATAATGTGATTATTAATCATCATTGAGAGGAAAGCAAATAACAACAAAAATAAAGTGGGAGTGAGTGGGAGAATATTGGAGAGTGAGAGAATGATTATTAAATAAGAAAGAGTGAGAGCGAGAGAACGTTTTATTAAAAGAGATGAATTAAAGGTCTAAGAGAAATGTTTAGATAATTAGAGTTAAGATGTTAAGGAAGAGGTATTGTTGTATGTAGGCGAATGTGACTCTATGACAGAAAATTGTCTGTGCAGGTCTACGTCTTGGTATAGCCCCCGTATAACGGTACCTCCCGATATTCGGTATTTTGCTGATTTTAGCGACATTTTTCACCGCCATTTTTTTTTTTCAAGTTTCACATTTGAATATTCTAATGGCTTATTACAAAAGTTGCAGCTCCATGTCGTGGTCGCCGGGCCGAACTTACATTTTTTTTTCTTTTTTTCCAATACAACATTTTGTAAATACTACACATACCTTGTCGAAGAAAGTTTCAACCTTTTCGCTAGGTTAAATATATTTCTATGATCTCCAATGTTCACTTAAAGAAGCTATGGTAAAAGTCAAACAACATAATACTATTTCTGCATATATTTTCCCTTTTATTATTAATTTGTTTTGTTATTATTATTATTATTATTATTATTATTATTATTATTGTTATTATTATTATTTTTTATTTATTTTTTTTTATTTTTTGAAATACTCACCCTCCATGGCCTTCAATATCGATGGCACCGGTATGTCATGATAATTCTTAATTGGTTTCTTCTGGGGAAACGGTGAAATGACATAAACTTCATGGCCCTTTTCGGCCAAGGCTTTCATTAGCGATGAGCCGACAATGAAATGCGATTTGGCGGCAGTGTGAATGACCCCCAGATATTTGTAAGCTTCGACTTCATTATTCGAAATTGTCAGAAAACTAAATAAAAATAAAAACACGAACGAAGACAACACTTTGAGACGCATGGCACAGCCGGCAAATTGAAAATACTCTTCTGGTATTTCAAACTCAAAAATAAATTATACACGTGTTTTTGGAAATATTAATGGAGGTAAACTCCCCCCAATTCTTTTCGCTTTGTAGGTTGAAATTAAACTGCCCATAGTTCTGTTTTGGTTCATACTTATAGCAGCGGTGCTCAAGAAAAAATACCTCTTTTCAGTCAAATTTCTCTTTGCTTATTTAAATCAAGAACAAAACAGTGTTAAGTCATTATTTATACAAATATTATTTATCCATTTGCTTTTTAAATTAATTTGGCAAACATTCGTGTCTAAAAACAATTTAATAGAACCGTAAAATATAAAGAAAAACAGAATTTTAATTTTCTCTTAAATTATCTCTTTTTTCGGTTCATGTTCTAGAACACGGTTTTGAGCACCGCTGCTTATAGTTCACAACATAATAGACAATACATTATTTAAGAGTGTTATTATTTGGTGGGGATTACTGAAATAATTTTAGAGTATTTGCTCTCTCCCCTCACAACACACATGTTTGGTTCTCTCTCTCTCCCACCATATACCACGATAGCATATTCATACTTGGGTGTTGTTGCTATTAATATACCCCACACGCATTTTGTTTACATAGAGCTATCATAATTCCACACTTGTCAGAATGCCCCAAATGGAGAGTAAATCAATCCCAAAACAGAGAGTAACTGATGTGTTGTAGATAAGAGCAACACAAATCGAAAATTATAAGGGAATTTTCTCTTAAGTTAACACATAACTTGTTTGCAATAATTGTTATGAGTATTATTGAATCAACCCCCATAATCAAACTAAAAAGGCTGATGAAAATCATTTTTGAGAATATGAAATTCTCAAAATAAATTGACAGCATGACATGAGTACTGTTCGTTATCTGAAAAACTATCGAAAAGATATCTTCTTATCTTTTAACAAAAATCAAGTAAAATAAATTTCAAAAAAAACTGCTGATGTGATGAAAAGCGTTCAAAATGTTAGAAAAAAGTGGTGTCTTCTAAAAAGTAATACTGAGCTTGTGGATCCAAAAAAGAAAAGATTTATAAAAATCTCTTTTACACAACGAAATCAATTTATGGAATATGGTTCACATGGAACCGGACGAAGAGTTTATAAGAGTATTGGAAAGTATATACGCTCAGCCTATGATCCATATGGGAAAAAATTAATAATAACAAGTAAACAAGCTGTGAGTTCGGCCGGGCCAAACTTTGGAACCAATTTTTGCAATTTTCAAAAAAAATAAATCCATTAAAAATTCTCTAAAAATCTTAAAAATGCAGAACGTTGCCGTTATATTAGGATCTATGCTATCTATTATTCAAATGCGAAACTTGAACCAAATCGGTGAATAATATACCTAAAATCATCAAAATACCGAATATCGGGAGGTACCATTATGCGGGAGCTACACCTAAACGTGGACCTGCACAGACAATTTTTTGAGATATATACCCTCAGCCCATGATCCACATGGGACAAAATTAATAATAAGAAGTAAAAAAGCTGTGAGTTCGGCCGGGCAGGACTTTTGTACACCCTCCACCACTTGGAAAGAATTTTGTAATTTTCACAAAAATAAAATCCTTTAAACTGAAATTGTTTGAGTTTTTTTTTTTTTTATTTGAAGTTCGTAATGAATATTACAGCCTACGACAAAAAATTGGCTGTGCAGGAAATAGCATCAACTTTTAGAATATGTTTAGATTTGTTCGAATTGGTCACCTTTGGCACGAATTATGGCCTTCAGACGGCTAATGAAACTTTCACACCCTGCCAAATGTTGCTCTGCGGTATTTTGGTCCATTCCCGACGAAGCACTTATTGGGCTGATCGACACTTTGGTATTTTTTAGTGCCAACCTTGCTTTCCAAAATACTCCAGACACAATACCAACGGATTGGTATCCGGAGATTTTGGTGGCAATTGTGCTCTAGAAATGAAGCGAGGCACCTAATTTTGTAACCGTTCTTGGATGGCGCGTGCTGAGTCATATTGGAATGTCCAAAAGGATTGGGTTCCCAAGGCTTTTATACACCATCCAGAATATTTTCGCGATAATTGTGGGCATTTATTCTGATGCCACGGTCGATTAATACGAGCGTTGAGCGACCATCGGCTGTTATGGCGGCACACACAATTACCATAGCCGGCGCTTGAGTTCTGGTGGCCAACCGAAGATGCATATTTTCAGCTGACCTGTCCTCTTTGACAAGTTAACACGATCATTTTTTTTTTTTTTTTGTTTACAAACTGCTGGACAGCGAATGTTGTCTCATCGGAGAAAATTCGACAGTTCACCACTTTCGGCCAAGCGAAGCAACTCTTTAGCTCTTTTGAGTCTATTTTCTTTCTGTTGCGGTGTAAATTCTTGCACTTTTAGGAATTTGGAATTTCAATGGCTTTACCCCGAGTTCATTTTTCAATATTTGCCGAATGCCATTTTTCGGACACTGCGACGCGGATATCGATCATGTCGCTTCTTTACTTTTAGAACCATTTCTGTGGATGTTGCTGTTTTCTTCCGACCACTTCCTTGACGTCGGGCTACGCTACAAATATCACGGCAACGAGCGATGGCAGCCCCCGACATTCGGTAATTTGAAGATTTTAGCCACATTTTTCAATGGAATTGGAGTTCTTTTATGAGTACTTTACTCCCTGAAAGATAATTGTCTATATGGATCCAAGATATCGTATATCCCCCATATAACGGCAACCCCCGATATTCGGTATTTTGATGATTTAAGCAAAATTTTTCAACAGAATTATCCGAAAATTCACCAAAGGAGTTCCTTGGGAATACTTTATCCCTAGAAGAGAATTGTCTATATAGGTCCACGATATCGTATAGACCCCATATAACGGTACCCCCGATATTCGTTATTTTGATGATTTTAGCCAAATTTCTTTTTTTTTTCGTTTTAGTATAGCGCCTATATAAAGGTACCCCCAGATATTCGGTATATTCACCGGAATTGTTTAAAATTTAGTATATAAAGTTCGGAACCGTTATTACAGCCTATGACACAAATTACTTATTCCGGGCCACGTCTTCGTATAGCCCCTATATAACGGCTTTCGTTAGAGCGGTATTTGTCGACTGATTTTTTTTGAAATTATTCAGGCTTCTTCCAAATGGTGGATGGTATAAAAGGTTCCGCCCAGCCAATCTTAGCTGCGCTTTTACTCGTTTTATACCCTACACCAGAAGGTGGTCAGGGTATTATGTCTTTGTGCATTTGTTTGTAACAGGCAAAAGAAAACGAGATAGACCCATAGTTCCTTTTGATGATCTGCATAGAATCACATTCTGGTTGATTTATGCATGTCAGTCCGTCCGTCCGTCTGTCCATGTATTCCTGAGAACAAAATGCAGGTCGCATTTATTATCTGATTGAGATGAAATTTTCCAAACAACATTTGTTTGGCCCAGGGACGAACCCTATTGAAATTGGAGATTATCGGTCAAAATTTAGATATAGCTCCCATATATATCTTCGTCCGACTTGCGTTTTATTGTGCACCAAACGTGTAATATCAGTCCGAAAAGTATGGAATTTTGCACGTACAATCAGATTGGACTTGAAAATAAGTATGCCAAATTTGATCGAAATCGGTTCAGATATAGCTATAGCTCCCATATATATTGTTCATCCGATTTGTTATTTTTTTCCTCCGCAGCCGTAATATGCACTCTGTAACAACAATATTTGGGGAAATATATCAAATACAGCTCAGAAATATCTTTGCAAAATTTTATCGAGATCGGTTCAGATTTGGATATAGCTCCCATATATAACTTCGTTCGATTAACATTTGATTGTGCACCAAGCATCTAACATTTGCGCAAATTGGATGAAATTTGGCACTTACGACCGAATTGAGTCTAGAAGCTAGTATGTCAAATTTGGTGAAGATCGGTTCAGATATAGCTATAGCTCCCATATATACTGTTCATCCGATTTGTCATATTTGTTACCCACAGCAGTAATATGCACTCCGTAACAACGAAATTCAGGAAAATATATCAAATACAGCTCAGAAATATCTTTGCCAAATTTTATCGAGATCGGTTCCGATTTGGATATATCTCCAATATATATCTTTATCTGATTTCAAATTAATTGTGCACTAAATGGGCAATACAAGTCCGAATTTAAAAGATACAAATGCTACGGCATATTTAGTCCTTTGAACTTTAAATTATAATTATAATCATGGCGTGTGTGATTGAATTCTCCCATAAAAACTTTTAATTGTTATGCGGAGCTCAACTAAATTAGCAAAGTGGTGTAGGGTATCATAAAGTCGGCCCCGACCGACTTTAAGACTTTCTCTACTGGTTTTTGACTGAATTTTTTTTTTTTGAAATTTTTCAGGTGTCTTCCAAATGTTGTAGGGTATAAAAAGTTCCGCCCGGCCGAAGTTAGCTGACCTTTTAGTTTATTTTATTTATTTATTTATTATACCCTACAACACTATGTGTTGGGGGTATTATAAGTTTGATTGGCCCAAAAATTATGTAACACCTCGAAATATTGGTTTCCCATATAGGAAAGTATATATGGATCTTCCTAGCTCGCCGAGCTGAGTCGATCTAGCTATGTATGTCCGTCCGTCCGTCTGTCCGTCTGTCCATGTTAATTTGTAATCACTCTACAGGTCGCAATTATGGCCCGATCTTCACGAAATTTGGAATGGAGGTCGGGGTCGGGCCAGAATAGAACCCTATTTCTTTTTGAGATGATCGCCAAATGTTTAGGGGTTGAAATGGACCAAATACTGAAAAAATTCAAATTTTGCAGTAGCTATGCAGGTCGCAATTATAGACCAATCGAATTTCGCATGTAGCTAGAGTTTAGGGCGGGGAAGAAGCCTACCAATTTGGGTGGTCATCGGATAATATTTAGCGGGTAAAATAGACCATATATTTTGTGTTGAAAAAATTCAAAATTTTTCATTAAACAGCGAATATTTTAAATCCCGGCGAAATCACAAAGCCATGACAAGGTTACTTCTGACCTTTACATTGATGTTAACATCCAAGAAATCGGATATTTAGCAAAATATGTGCGATATATTTGTTTATCAAAGAAGATATGCTTGGAAAATCTCTTATATGTCGAGAACGGCTGAACTGATTTCGACAGTTCTCATTAATTCAGAATGGCCTCTTGGCAGGAGAGAAAAAACGTCTAAAAAAATCGCATAAAAATATCTCTCTAAAGATGAAAATATTGATTTTGTAAAATGTTCTCATATTTTTTCAATTTTGTCATATTTTTGGCATATTTTCATTTTGAATTAAATATTTGGTAATATTTCTACAGCTAACAAAACTAAGTAGTTAGGATATCAGGATATCATATACAGATCGCATTTATTGCCCGATCCTTACGAAATTTTGCATGGAGGGTCATGGATGAGGGTCAGAATAGAAGCCTACTCTTTTTGGAGATGATCGCCATATATTTAGGGGTTGAAATGGACCAAAAAACTGCAAAATTGTCAGGAGGTCGTAATTATCGCCCGATCCTCACGCACATTTGAATGGGGGTTACCGGACATTGCAAAAGCCAAGCAGTTTTGGATGGCCATCCAAAAATATTCAATGTGTGAATAGCTTGCCAACTTTTGTAGACAAAATACGAAAATGTCCATTCCGGTGACTTTTTGGAGAATTCACAAATACAGGAAAGACGCACTTCCGATTATTTCGTTAACGCTGATTTCGTTGAAGAATATAGTCAAATGTCTGTATCTCATACAGATGCGTTTCTGTCAAAAACCAATAATAAATGTTAATCTTTTGCTACTTCTGAGAGGTTATAGGTCTTTGGGAAATATTGGTTCCAGATCTAGGAAGATCATTTAAGTGCAACATCTACCAATAAATTGGAAATTAGCAAATTAGTTAAGGTAGCTATTATTCGCAAATTAGAGAACGAAATCTGATGGTTTTCTTTTATTATTTGTCACAATATCTTGTGGAATTCTGTCGAGTATTTCGCCTATATAAACTGTATCGTTTATTATAGTGTTGTAGGGTATTCAACGGTCGGCCCCGCTCGACTGTAGCCTTTGCTTACTTGTTTTTTGGAGTCATAAAATCAAGGCGACTTCAATAACATACGTGGCAAACAACTAATTTTTTTCAGAATATTTTCCCAGAGAAGAAAATTTTCAAGAACATTAATGACGGTCCTTCAAGGGTAATTTCTTTACTCGAATTTAAGATGCAAATTGTAAATTTACTGTTGAATAAAAAAATATTAAAAAAATTATTCCAACCTTATTAAAATTATAAAATAGACATTGTATTCAAAAAATGCACGATATGATACGCGATCATTACACATTTGTAACAACAATTATAAACAACACATTTCACCAGGTCTTCATTAAAAAAAAATAAAAATTAGAAAAAAAATCGCACTTCATCAAATGACTGTAATTATTAGCACTTTTAACGAAATAGCTAATCAGTTATTGCTTCACTAATGTTTCTTTTGTTTCTTGATCACCTTTGGCCCGGCCACTCTCCGCAGCAGACAACCCAGCAAACATTTCAGCAGCCATAACACCACACCCACAACAAACAAGAGGCCACCATACAAAATAAAAATCGCATCAATGCTATGATATTCAATGAAATTCAAATCCAAACCGGCACAGTGGAGATATTTGGCACCCTTGTGGCGGGCCACATGCTCCACCCAGTAAATAGCTTGGGTCAGCGGTTCCATGGGTTGATCTCTATAACGTTCTGACATTGCCCTCACTAAAATTGTGTATTTTGGATCTCCGAGCATTGTCTCTATTGCCTGTTGCAGAGCTTCGGCCGTAATATTCTTGTAGTCCAATAAAATGCCATAGCCATTGGCCACAGCCTTGGCCATGTTCAGGAATTGATCACCAAATATGGGAATGCCAATAAACGGTTTGCCATGGTAAATACTTTCCGTGGTGCTCAGCAGGCCACCGTGGGTTATGAAAAGCTTGACATTTTCATGGGCCAAAATATCATCCTGCGGGAACCAATCACTGATGTAAACATTGTCCGGCTTACCCTCCAAATTGGGATCTTCAAATTTCCACAACACTCTCTGCTTGAGAGATTTCAAAGCCTTCATTATGGCCTGTCGTTTTTCCACAGGTAAATTAGCCGACTTGATATTTGAACCCATGGAGAAATAAATCACACCATGCCGAGATCCATTGATGAACTTCTCTATGGCCACGGGCAAGGGGGTTCTCTTGCGATTTATATGCATACCACCCACCTCGATTTGATTTGGCACATAGGGTCGGGGAAAACTCAACGAGACATGGGTGTTAAGCAACACCAAAGCAGCATTTTTCCGTATATCATACATTGACCTCGACGAATCGGGAAAATATCGCCGAAAGACTTCTTCCTGTTTCGGCAGATAATAGAAATCCAAAAATAATCTTTCAAAACTTAACATGGCCAAATTGATTATTCGCTGACCCAAGGTCATGTGATCGGTAAAGGGTAGAAAGGTATTTGCCACATATGATGGAGGGGAGGGCGAACCAACCTGGAAAACGAGGGGGAAACGGGAAGAACATTTTAAATATTCAGTTCTAAGTCTTCTAAAGATTTTCCATAGATTTTTTTTTTTTTTGAATGGAAAAAATCTGCAATTCAGCCCGGCTGAATGGGGGTTTTCCATAGGAAAATCTGCAATTCAGCCTGGCTGAATGGGGGTTTTCCATAGGAAAATCTGCAATTCAGTCCGGCTGAGTGGGAGTTTCCATAGGGAAATCTGCAATTAAGCCCTGCTGAATGGTAGTTTCCATAGAAAAATCTGCAATTCAGCCTGGCTGAATGGGGGTTTTCCATAGGAAAATCTGCAATCCAGCCCCGCTGATTGGGAGTTTCCATAGGAAACCTGCAATTCAGCTTGGCTGAATGGGGGTTCTATAGGAAACCTGCAATTCAGCCTGGCTGAATGGGGGTTCCATAGGAAACCTGAAACTCAGCCCGGCTGAATGGGGGTTTTCCATAGGAAACCTGCAATTCAGCTCGGCTAAATGGGGGTTTTCCATAGGAAAACTTCAATTCAGCCCGGTTGAATGGGGGTTTCCATAGGAAAATCTGCAATTCAGCCCGGCGGAATGGGAGTTTCCATAGGATAATCTGCAAATCAGTCCGGCTGAATGGTAGTTTCCATAGGAAAATCTGCAATTCAGCCGGGCTGAATGGGGATCTCCTTCCTTTTTCCATTTTCTAGTTGTCTGCTCACCATATCTGTATTCCATGCAACAGCCCCAAAAGTGCCCAAACCAATCAAAGGCGCCTTAAAATGTTCACTCAGACCATACAAGGCCTCTGACAGGAACACCTCACATATGACTGCATCAAATGTTTGATTTGAGACCATCAACTGTTTGACAGCCGGTTCATTAAGTACTGCCTCGGTCACCCTGACACCAGTGTTGTGAAATGACACAAGATTTTCCACGACACTGCGTTCTGTGGTGTCCAATAGGTTGTTAAGTTCCTCTGGAAAAAAAATCCAATCAGAAATTCATATTATCAAAATAAAAAAATCCTACTCCTCCTCCTTACCATCCATAAGTTTCAATACCGATGGTGTTGGTATCTCCACATAATTCTTCATAGGTTTCTTGAGCGAAAATGGACTAATAACTGTCACCTCATGACCCTTTTCAGCCAAACCCTTCAGCAATGCCGAGTCAACAATAAAATGTGATTTTGAACCGAAGTGCAATACGCCCAAGAACTTATAGCCATGAATTGAATGCAAAATCCCTGCAATGGCTATAAATAGTTGTAGTAGCATTTGTCCATTCCAGAAACGCATTATTTAAGTTGAGTGCTGCCGCAAAATGCACTGGCAGCGAAGACGTCTGATGTGCGCGAAATAGTTTTGAGAACTAGTTGCCGGTAGGCTATGAATGGAAAATATTGCCGCTCCCATTGAGTAACAGAGTGTGTGGGCATATGTACAATTGAACATACATATCTGGTAGTTTACACAATGTAAACAGTAAACGATCAGTTTGCATGTTTGACTGGTGACAGACTGAGAGAGAGAGAGAGAGAGAGAGAGGGAGAGGCAAATTGCTACAATAGAAAGACATGGACATTAGGCTGGGGTGATGTATGTTACTGAATTGCATTGACCAAACCGTGAAACCAACAACTTCTAAATTAAATGTCAAGACATTACATTTTGCCACCGACCCACCCTAATATGTCGAGAAACTTGTTCTGCATCGACTTGTGTATTAATCTTCATACAAATGTGATTAAATCCAAATTATTATCAATGATATGCGGTGTTGGTAAAAATTAAATTAAATATGTAGGGTGAGATGGAAAAAACTGCCACCAACTTCAGACTGTTGTCATTTCCATGCCACTCGTCCGACAACTGTTAAAATTATTCCAGTGACAGCTAATTATATTGTTTACAAGCGTACAAAAGCATTTTGGTGAGAATTTTCCAGAACAACATTTATTCGTGATAGAATTCAAGCAGGAAAACCAAAAGCGGCTAACGTTAGAGCACTCCAGCATTTAAATGTGAATAAATTTTTTGTGTCTCGTACCATGATACTGGTAGCGTAGCCCGACGTCAAGGACGAGGACGAAGGAAAACAGCAACATCAGCAGAAATGCTCCCAAATGTAAAGAAGCGACTTGTTCGAAACCCGCTCGCAGTGGCCGAAAAATTGCTCGTGAGCTGTACATATCGCAATACTCCATTCGGCAAATATTAAAAAAATGAGCTCGGGTTCATGCCAATGAAATTCCAGAAAGTGCAAGAACTTACACCACAACAGAAAGAAAATAGACTCAAAAGAGCTAAAGAGTTGCTTCTCTTGGCCGAAAGTGGTGAACTGCCGAATTTGGTTTTCTCCGATGAGAAAACATTCGTTGTCCAGCAGTTTGTGAACAAACAAAATGATCGTGTTTACTTGCCAAAGAGGTCAGGTCAGCTGAAAATGTGCACCTTCCGTTGGCCACCAGACCTCAAGCGCCGGCCATGGTGATGTTGTGGGCCGCCATAACAGCCGATGGTCGCTCTCCGCTCGTATTAATCGACCGTGGCCAGAATAAATTCCAAACATTATCGCGAAAATATTCTGGAGGGTGTATTAAGGCCTTGGACACGCAAACATTTTGGCCTCAGACCTTGGACATTCCAACAGGACTCAACACCATTGCACTCAGTACGCGCCGCCCAAGAATGGTTACAAAATGAGGGTTCCTGGCTTCATTTCCAGCGCACAATGACCACCAAAATCTCCGGATACCAAATCGGTTGGACTATTTACTGTGCCGGGAGTATTTTGGAAAGCAAGGTTGGCACTAAAAAATACCAAAGTGTCGATAACCTCAAGCAAGCGATTCGCCAGGAATGGGTCAAAATACCGCAGAGCAACATTCGGGCAGCGTGTGACGGTTTCATTGGCCGATTGAAGGCCAAAATTCGTGGCAAAGGTCACCAATTCCAACAAATCTAAGCTTATTCTAAAATTTGATGCTATTACCGACATTTTTTGCTTTCATTGAATTAGATTTAAAAGAAAAATGTAAAAATTATGGCGTTTGACTTTGTTGCAGTTTTTTTTATCTCGCCCTGTATTCATCAACATATTCCCACTTTTGGCCAGGAAGTCCTTGAGAACATTTCAGATTTTTGCTGGGAAGTCCTCTAAGACATATTCTTAAAAGACCCCAAGAGCTTTCCATGAAGTTCTTGAAAAATATTCTTTAAAAACAACAAAATTTTGTCGAGAGGTCGTTGAAAATTATTATTCAAAACATTTACCATTATTCCAGAAAATTGGCCAAAAATTCACGCCATAAATTCCATAGATAAAAAATTCCCAAAAAAAATTGTTTTTTCAGGAAGTCCTTTAAAGAATACCCTTCAAAAACTCCACGATTAAATATTAAAAAAATATTAAAACAATTGATTATTTTCCCCTCTTTAAAATCCTAATGTTTCTGAAAGTTCTTTACAAATATTCTTTATAAGTCGTTACCAGGTGATTAAAAATAGTCTTAAAAAAGTTTTGAAATTTTTTAAAAAAATAAATTTCTGAAGTTCTTAAAAATATATTTATTTTAAAAAAAACCCGATTTTCCCAAGATAGTCCTTGGAAAATATTTATATATTTAAATTTTCAAATCCACAATGTTTGTCATGCAGTTTTTTTACATTTTTCTTTATGAATCCACGATTCTTTCTTAAAAAATCCACGTTTGGTATCAGAAAGTTCGTGGAAAGATATTCCATAGAAATTCATAGAAAAACAAGTAAAAAAGCTGCAAGTTCGACCGGGCCAAACTTTGAATACCCTCCACCATTTGGAACGAATTTGCCAATTTTCAAAAAAATGAAATAAAATCCGTTAAAAATTCTGTTGAAATCTTAAAAATACAAAATGTAGGGTCCAAACGACGACATGAACCTGTATAGGCAAGCTTTGTTCTAAGCCATTACTATATTCAAATGCGTAACTTTAAAAAAATCGGTGAATAATGTAGCTAAAATCATCAATATTGGGAGGTATTATTATATGGTGGCTAAACCAAAATGTGGACCTGCACAGACAATTTTCTGCCTGAGGCTGAAGTATCCATTACGAACTTCAAATACCAAATTTGAATCAATTCCGGTGAATAATGTCGCTAAAATCATCCAAATACCGAATATCGGGAGGTATCGTTATATGGAGGTTATACGAAGTCGTGGACCTCCATAGACAATTTTCTGTCTTAGGCGGTAGTATCCATTACAAACTTCAAATTTAAAATTTGAAACAATTCCGACGAATAATGTCGCTGAAATCATTAAAATACCGAATATCGGAGGGTATCGTTATAAGGGGGCTATACCAAAACGTGGACTTATATGGCCCATTTTCAATACCAAAAGTCCTGCAGACATAATATATATTTGAGTAAAGTTTTATCAATCTACTTCAATTCGTTCGGAAGCTAGAGGGATTTCCACAAATGGACAGATGGACGGACATCGCTAAATCGACATAGAATTTTATGCTTATCAAGAATATATATACTTTGTGGGGTCTAAAATGTATATTTCGAGGTGTTACAAACGGAATGACAAATTTAATATACCCTCCACACTATGATGGAGGATATTAAACAACTCAACACGGATTCTTCCTTCGAGAGACAGACAGATCGCCTCCGAATGGCCTGAAACGAATTTCGTCAAACGAAACTTGAAGTATTAAAACGTTATTCCGATTAGGTTTATTTTGGGCTGTTACAAATAAAAGCTAAACATTAAAATGTATAAAAGATCAAAATTATTGACTTAATCCATTTTACAAAAAATATATTTTGCCTGTATTAAATTATCTCTCTGTGTCTCTCCCTCTCTCTCTCTGTTTACAAGAGCGACATATTGCATATTGATTATTAAAGCCGCATTTATCAAATGTTACTGCGTAATGATTTACATGAAGAGTGTTTGTAGGGATGTCAGTTCATATTTTTTTAGAAAATGTGGGATTTTATTATTTACATATCACTGCAAATTTCCTTTTGAGTATCAGATCTGATAAAGATGAATAAACTAAAAATAATAGAAAAAATCTCAACACCAAACTAATGTCTAGCGATTTTATGCAGTAGTACTTAATTTGAAAATTCGATTTTAACTTAACTTTAAATTATTTGCTTGTATTTTTTTTTGAAGCTACAGCTCACAAAATATTAAGATTTTCTCTGAGACAACAACTATTGCTGAGTCATTGGACGCCATACAGAAGTCGTTAAGCCGTTTATATTGTAAAATACTGACGTAATAGTTAACCGTCGGTTGGCAAAATTTACTAGCACTTTGAAAATTATTAATAATTAGCAAGTGCATGCAAAAGTGCAATTTACATAAAGATTTATCAGCTTGACTAAACAACTAAATAAACTTATATTTTATTGTTCTATTGAGTGTTTATCAATCAGGGGAGGTAAGGTTATTTTTATAGAGGTTTACATTGAGACAACATAATAAAATAGGGGATCAGGTAATTTCAGGAATTTTTATGAAGAAAGTACTTTAAACATATTCTGGAAAAATTTGCGAAAATCTATACTTTAAAAATTTCCTTAATTTTTAGCAGGATATCTTTAAAACGAATATTCGTCAAAAAAATATACGTATTTTCGCCAGGACGTCCTTGAAAGAGTATTTTTCAAATTACGAAAAAAATATTTTAAAAAAATTACGATTGTGGTCTTATGGAAAAAATATTCATTAGAAAATATTCATATGCGAAACTTGAAAAAAAGATCGGTGAATAATGTAGCTAAAATCATCAAAATACCGAATATCGGGAGGTGCAGTTATACAGGGTGAGATAAAAAACTGCAACAAAACTCAGACTGCTATCATTTCTAAGCCACTTTACAGGCGTACAAAATAATGAGCTCGGAGTAAAGCCTTTGAAATTCCAAAAAGTGAAAGAACTTACACCGCAACAGAAAGAAAATAGACTCAAAAGAGCTAAAGAGTTGCTTCGCTTGTCCGACAGTGGTGAACTGCCGAATTTTGTTTTCTCCGATGAGAAAACATTCGTTGTCCAGCAGTTTGTAAACAAACAAAATGATCGTGTTTACTTGCCAAAGGGGTCAGCTGAAAATGTGCACCTTCCGTTGGCCACCAGAACTCAAGCGCCGGTTATGGTGATGGTGTGGGCCGCCATAACAGCCGATGGTCGGTCTCCACTTGTATTAATCGACTGTGGCATCAGAATAACTGCCGAATATTATAGCGAAAATATTCTGGAGGGTGTATTAAAGCCTTGTGCACGCAAACATTTTGGCCGCAGACCTTGGATATTCCAACAGGACTCAGCCACCCTAGAATGGTTACAAAATGAGGTTCCTCGCTTCATTTCCAGCGCACAATGGCGACCAAAAACTCGGGATACC